AAAGAATAACAAAGCCAGCGGACCGGATGGGATCCCTGCTGAAATCTTTAAAGAGGGAGGACCTGAGCTGACACACCAACTCCACCAGCTCATAGAAAAAGTGTGGGTGACCGAGAAAATCCCAGCAGATTTCAAGGATGCCACCATCATCACCCTCTTCAAAAAAGGGGAAAGAACAGACTGTGGAAACTATCGAGGTATCTCCCTTCTAACCTCCGCTGGGAAAATCCTCGCAAGAATCCTTGCAAACCGCCTTCTGCCCCTCTCAGAAGATACCCTACCAGAATCCCAGAACGGCTTCCGCCCCTCCAGATCTTCACTGCACGACAGCTCCAAGAAATATGCAGGGAACAAAACCAACCTCTGTACATGGCATTCATCGACCTTGCAAAGGCATTTGACACAGTGAATCGCAGCGCTCTCTGGACCATCCTCCAAAAAATCGGGTGCCCTAGCAAATTTGTGAACATCCTGCGGCTCCTCCATGATGACATGATGGCAACAGTCTTGGACAGCAATGGCTCCCAAAGTGACCCATTTAAGGTGGAATCAGGTGTCAAACAGGGATGTGTTATTGCCCCAACTTTATTCTCCATCTTCATTGCTATGATACTTCCCCTTGTTGATGGGCCCAGCCTATATAGGAGTGGAAGTCATCTATCGGACAGATGGCAAGCTGTTTAACCTCAGCAGACTGAAAGCCAAAACCAAGGTTACAACAACATGTTATAGAACTCCAGTATGCTGATGACAATGTCGTCTGTGCGCATTCAGAAGAAGATCTACAAGCCACTCTAAACACCTTCACAGAAGCATACACGAAGTTTGGCCTGTCACTGAACATCGAGAAAACCAAAGTGCTGTTTCAGCAGTAACCAGCCAATCCCCTCCCCAATGCCAGAGATACAACTTAATGGTGTAACATTAGAAAATGTTGACCATTTCCGCTACCTTGGCAGCCACCTCTCCACCAAAGTCAACATCGACACCGAAATACAACACTGCCTGAGCTCAGCATTTTCCTGAAAAAAGCAGGGAGTGTTTGAGGACCGGGACATTTGTAGGGATACCAAGGTGCTTGTCTATAAAGCTATTGTCCTCCCAACCCTGCTATAAGCCTGTGAGACGTGGACTGTCTACAGACGTCACATGCAACTCCTGGAATGATTCCATCAGCGCTGCCTCTGGAAAATCCTGCAAATCTCCTGGGAAGACAAGCGGACAAACGTCAGTGTGCTGGAAGAAGCAAAGACCACCAGCATTGAAGCGATGGTCCTCCAACATCAACTCTGCTGGGCCGGCCACGCTGTCCGGATGCCTGACCACCGCCTCCCAAAGCAGTTGCTCTACTCTGAACTTAAGAACGAAAAACGGAATGTTAGTGGACAGGAAAAGAGATTTAAAGATGGCCTCAAAGCCAACCTTAAAAACTCTGGCATAGACACTGCGAACTGGGAAGCCCTGGCCCTTGAGCGCTCCAGCTGGAGGTCAGCTGTGACCAGCAGTGCTGCAGAATTCGAGGAGGCACGGGTGGAGGGTGAAAGAGAGAAACGTGCCAGGAGGAAGACACGTCAAGCCAACCCGACCGGGACCGCCTTCCACCTGGAAACCAATGCCCACACTGCGGAAGAAGCAGAGCAAGAATAGGGCTCCACAGCCACATGCGGTCCCACAAGGAAATCCATAATGGAACACCATCTTACTCGTCCAAAGTAAGTAAGTAAGTAATATAAGCAATGGCCACAGGCTCTTCATGCTCATCGTCATGAAAAAATCCTGCATTTTCTTCTGACTCCATATGTTCAGTGGGCTCAGAAGTCATTAGATCCCAGTGGTCCCAGTGGTGATCGGCACAATGGGTGCAGTGCCTAGAGACTTTGGTCTGCACTTAAACACAATTGGTGCTGACAAAATTACCATCTGCTAGCTGCAGAAGGCCACCTTACTGGGATCTGCACACATTATTCACCAATACATCACACAGTCCTAGACACTTGGGAAGTGTCCGACGTCTGATCCAATACAACAGCCAGCAGAGTGATCGTGTAAGCTGTGGACTCATCTTGTTGTGTTTCTAATAATATAATAAATAATGTTATTACCTGCCTCTCTTCACAGCTTGAGATTGATTCATAATATTTAAAATCTTGAGTCTGCTTTGATGCTGCTCATGCTTTATTCCCTGACCTATTGTAACACAAAAGGGCAAATTCACACTTATGACAATCACCAAAATGACCCACACTGGCACAGTACCACAATGGATTTCTTGCTCTCTAGAATGATGAGAGCCCACATGAGTATACAAATACATTTGGAACAGAAAAGGCAAACATTTTTCAGGGAAATAAGAAACTACATTTAGGTAAAAGTGTAGACTGCGGTAAAATATCTCAAAACCTTTTGAGTAAAATAGCAGCACTGTATTTTTGCAAACATTCAACCAATATTATCAAATTTATAATACTTTTATTGTGAAATATTTGGAAAAACCCCCAAATAAAAACATTTATCATTTTTAAACATTTCAAAAAGACATTATATTTAGACTGAGGATCTGAAAAATAATGAACATGCATAAAATTAATATTAAATATCAATATTAAATATATTATAGTGGATTCATCTGTGTTCATCTGTCAGTGGAGCAGACTGCTGTCAAAATGGATTCTCTCCTTCCCCTCAATCCCACTACATATCTCAAGATTTGCTTCAGAAGATGCTTGGGCATATTTGTGGTGCAGGGGTGTAACGGACAAAAACAAAGAGGAGTCCATCTGAGCAATGTTCTAGGATATTATACAGAAAGTGAAATGTTATCAATAGTGGAGGTTATATGTATTTTTATTTGTGCAATCCAGTGTATTTGGCTGGTAATCTACCTGTCAGTCTCCAGCATTTCTCTCCAACAGCAACTCAGCTTACCCTTTGGCCAGGAATGAAATCGGGGGCTGAGACACTGCCTATACCTGTGTAAGAATCAAGCAGCTCCTATTTTAAAACGTCACAGAAAAATGTAATATGGACATGGAAAGAAGTAATAGAAAATATTCTTCCTGTATTTTGGATCAATTGATGTATTTGAAGTAGCAACCAAAAAAGTATTCTTACAGGCCTGTGAAAATGAGGGATTCTTAGTGGTTTTTTTCAAAATGAGAATTGCTCCTCTGTGTGCACCGTACATGCCATTTTACTACATACAAATGCTGATTTCATCACTTCTAAACCTGTTCTGAACCTCCTAGAAATTTCACGTCAATATGAGCTTCTCAAAAAAGCTCAAATAATATCATATTTGAATGATATTACACAAAAAGAATGTCAGAGTTTTATATTGTATATGTCATTTCCTAAGTGAAAAAATGGGTAAGTGATTGTAAGAATCATGTCCAATCATTGTATGGCCAGCAACAGTCAAGCCACCTGTGGAAGCTTAGGTACTACAAGTAGAGACTAAGTACATTGTATTACCTGATGTTGGAGTGATGTTTGAGGTTGGAGTAGATGTTGGAGGTTGGAGAGAGGTTGGCTGGAGGCTGGAAAGAGACTGGAAAGAAGCTGGAAAGAGGTTTGAAATTACTGGAGGTATATTATTGCTGCAACATCTGAAGAACAATACTGTGAAGATAAAGACTTTGTGTTTATAAGCTTTTGTGTGGATATTCCAAGGACTCTGCTTTGTTTGTGAATACTTTTACATACATATTTTCTTTGCTAAAGACAGTTTGCTTTCTGTTGGGTTTTTCCTCCTCGGGCGATGGGGTGCAACTTCTGCAGATGGGGTTTGGAACCAACCCCAGTTTGATAGCAGCGACAGAGAATACCCATGCTGACTTAGATGTCATAATTTTGAGAGTTAGAAATGGACGCAGCTATGACACTGTCTGGACCTATTCTTTACAGGCAGATACAACTAGGCCAACTGCTTGGCCCCATTGTATTTCAGATTGTGAAATTTCAGGATGGGGATAAGCTACTTGGGAAAACTCTGGGCTAGTATGTGCTAGATCTTAGCCCAACCTGACTGTTGCTTCTTCATGTTCTTTAGATTGCTTGCATCTGATCGTAGGCTCTTGATTTTTAACTCCAGCCTTATTTTCCATTTTAGTTTTCCAATCATTTTTCTTGCAGGTTTCAGTTGATATATCCCCAGTTCTTGTGTTACAATCACTGCTGTGCTGTACGCTAGCTGGTTGGTTTCTTCCATTGTTGCTATCTCAATAGTTGCAAGTGCAGCATTCACATTATTCATTAGAGGTGCCAGATGTTTTCTTGGCACTGTCTTCCATGTTGGCAGTCTTTGCCTTTCTTCCTTCAATGCAGCACGGGTCAAATTATTTTCTTTCTTGTTGCTTTGTGGTCAATGTGCCAGGTGTAGTATAAGCAATGGCCACAGTATAAGCAATGGCTCATCGTCTTGAAAAAAATCCTGCGTTTTCTTCTGGCTCCACATGTTCAGTGGGCTCAGAAGTCTGCAGCTGTCTCCACAGTTTGTTCTTCTGTTTCACAATTGCTTCTTATTTCTTCAAGTTCGACTTCACTGAGCAAGCACCTTTTTACTGGTGATGTATCTCCTCTGGTCAGCAAGCCTCTGTTCAGTTACAGTTGAATCTGGATATTCAAGTTTCCATAGCTGGTACATCCGTTTTTGGTATCCACGTTTTTGTGGTTCTGATCTATTTCATGACAGTTCAGTTCTGTGGCATTGAAAATTCCTGCCGCTTCTGTAGTTGTTTTGCTTCTAGTTGCCCTACAGGCCCATGCCCTGGTTGCTCAGCAGTGGGTCCTGGTTCCTGTAGCCCACTTTTCGACGGGTGCCCAGGAGAAGCAATCGCCATGGTCCTTAATAATAATAATAATAATAATAATAATAATAATAATAATAATCTGACAGGGTGCTTTGATTGTGCTTTCCCTGCATGAAGGCAGAGTGAAGGGCATTGGACTAGATGGCTCAAGGGGTCTCTTCCAACTCTGCTTATTATTACCAATCATTAATATTGAGGTTAGATAGCCATCTGGCAGGGGAGCTTTGATTGTGCTTTCCCTGTGTGAAGGCAGAGTGAAGGGGGTGGCCTTTAGAGGTCCCTTCCAACTCTAGGATTCTATGAAAGGAGTCTTAGTTGACCATAAGCTGAACATGAGCCAACAATGTGATGCTGCAGCTGAAAAGGCCAATAGGAGAAGCCTGAGAGAAGGCGAAAGGGAACTGATATGAAACTTTACCTCAGATAGTTCTTTAATTACTTTTAATGATAATTATTTAATGCAACTGTTTATTTTAACTTATTGATCAATGTTTTATCATTAACATTTTGAATAATTTATTTAAGTTCTATTCCATTGAGGCAATTATAAGAGAAGTTACTACACTTTATCATGTGCCAAAGATTTTTGAAGCTTCATAGCAAAAGGAGATACTAATAAGCTGATATTTTAATATATGTCAGTCTTAAAATCCCTAAACAGTCCACCTGCCAAGTCATGCACTATAGTGCTATATTTTCTGGAAAATATTGAAGCATTTGAAAAATCTGCACAAATAATTTTAAGAAACTTATTGTCACTTTGGGACACCTATCACTCTGAAAACCGTTGAAAACAAAAGTTAGTCATATACCTGCTATAAAAGAATATCTTTTTCAAGCCTAGCAGAAAATAATTACACACTTCTGTTACAAAGCCACTAGTGATATAGCATCCTGACAACAGCAATGTTACTGACATCACGATAGTGTCAAAAGGTGATCATAACCATGCTCGGCTTTTACCAAGTACTTAACACCTCTACAAATATGAATATCCTTGAGATATTCATATTTGTAGAGTCATATTCAACTGTCATTAACACAGGATAAATAAACACAGGGAGAATGTAATGCGCCTAATGGAGAACCCAGTGTTTATATTTCTTATACCAACAGCACCTGAACAGGGTTAAACTGGATATTTTAAGAACAAAAGTGCTCTAAATTTTAAAATTTCAATATGTATATTATCAAAAAATATAAGTACAAAATTAAAAATGTCAATAGATGAAAGCCTAGCTACAAATGACCAAAATATGACTCAGGGAGTTTTGGGGGGAAGACAAGATGTTGCAACCATCCACTCAATATTTGAGGTTTGTGCAATAAGCAAACAACAGGCATTAAACATTTTCACTTGCAAAGGCAGCATATGGAGTGATCTACAGCATCAGCAGTGATGCTCATACATGAGGCTTCATTCGTGAAGGTTGTCACTAGGCACAGCTGGAGAAAGATTCAAGGGTCACTGCTCTCTTGAGCTTCATGACCAGAGAAGGAACAAGAGTTATTCCAGTAGGAGACATCCAAATACGAATTGTTTCACTCTGTGGCAGTTTTCAGTTCCTCAGGACTTTCTTTAGATTGTCTACAAAGAAAAAAATCAGAAAGAGTAAAATACTTATGAGCATTTGTACAAATTACTACTGCTGCTACTACTACTACTACTACTACAAACTTCACAAGGAAATGCAGAGTAATAGAAATGGCGTATGTATGAGAGACAAATGAGGAAGGGGAAGGAAGAAATTCCCCATTTAACAGTATCTAGACTAGCAAAATCTGCCAATTATTATTCTGTTATGATCACCATTGCAGTATTCCAAAAATCTTAAATGAAGATCAAAATACGTGATTTTGGTTTTTTTTAAAAAACCATAGATATACTCCTAAAGTTCCTAGAAGAAAGGATTGTTCAGTGAGATTCATTACTCACACATTATTGCAAAACAAAAATCCTCAAACAACCAATCCAAAACAAAAACCCTTTATAGTTTTGAGTCTGTGGGAGTGAAAGCATATGTCTTAAACATCTTACTTATTTCTTTTTCATTTTAAATACACATACACTTGGAATCATGGCATGTCAAGCTAACATGTAAAAGCTGAAGGCAGATTTCATAGCCAGAATTATGGATTTTGATATGATCCATGGATAGTTTGAGGGCCATACCATGGAAAAGGGAAAGCACTGATGTTATCACAGAGGGCCCACTGCTCCTGGTCGCTACTGCCATTTCTCCATCCATGCATTTAAAAGAGCCAGAAGCAATACTGGCAGCCAGCAGAAGAAGTAGTCAATGCTTCTTCTAGTCCAACCCCCTTGCTGTGCAGCATTACACAATCAAATCACTCCTGACAGATGGCCATTTAGCTTCTGTTTTAAAAACTCCAGGGAAAGTGGTTCCACTACACTGCTGAACAGCTCTTACCGCCAGGAAATTCTTTGTAGTGTTTAGGTGGAAACTCTTTTTCTATACAGTAGTTTGGACACAGAGCAATGAGTTTAAACTACTGGAGTAGTAAAAATGAGCTTGCTCCATCTTGAATGTAACTTCCTTTCCAATATCATGGCACTTTTTAACCATCTCTTCTCCAAGCTTCAAGCATGCTAAACTACCTAAGTTGATCCTCAGAGGGATCAACTTTCCCGACCATTTTGGTCACCGTCCTCCCAAAACAGTTTCTATTTTGTTTCAATGTTGTCTGTTCGCCAAATCCTTCCAAAAATCTTAAATGAAGATCAAAACACAATGCATGAAACACAGGCAGAGACATCTCCAGCTCATCCCCTGCTTGGGTATCAGCCAGCACGTCAACTACTTAAATCCAGACATAGTTTTCTAAGATCTACAGAGACACTCGCTGGAACGCCTCAGCAAGCGAGAGTCCAAAAATGGCAGGCTCAAACCCAGAACCTCAACCAATGGCTGATACCAAATGAGAGACTCCCCCCTGGGCACACAGAGGACTGGGCGACCCGGAAGGCGCTGAACAGACTGCGCTCTGGCACCACGAGATACAGAGCCAACCTTCAGAAATGGGGCTACAAAGTGGAATCCTCGACATGCGAGTGCGGAGAAGAGCAAACCACAGCCACCTGCTGCAATGCAACCTGAGCCCAGCCACATGCACAATGGAGGACCTTCTTGCAGCAACTCCAGAAGCACTCCAAGTGGCCAGATACTGGTCAAAGGACATTTAATCAACTACCAAACTCACACATTTTGTATTTTCTCTGTTTGTTTGCTTTGTTCTGTTAGAAATGTAATATAATTGACTGGCTGCCCTGACACGAGAAATAAAAAAAAAGTGCATGAAAGATTTGTGGACTGGGGCATCAGTTCAACAATGGCACTACCACAGGCCTTTTTAAAACTTCCATTTCAATCCAGCCAATAAGCCAGGAAAGGAAACAGCAGGGAAACTGTTCTGGCCAGAAGCTTAGCAGTTTCTTTTCATAAGTCAGTACTTTGGGTGGCTGTGACATTTAAACCTCTGCTGTTGAGAGGAAAACACATTTCTGGCTTTGCCTATTCAGGGGTAGGCCTCTTTCTCTTCAATTGCCTGTTCACTATGCAATGTGTGCCTGCTCCACAATTTGGAGTCGACGTATTTCATTTGGCTGCTTGCCCAGCTGACACACAATCCCCTCCCCTTCTCTTTTTCTTTGAATTTGCAAACTGAACTAACAAAAAACTTAATTCTCCAAATCATTAAAAAGCAAAACAAGCCATGTTGGTCATAATAAAATAAATTACCTTCATAGCAGAGCAATACTATTTTAGCCCAATAAAACGATTTCACCAAGATGACAATAGTTCATTTCTCAGTAAAACCAAAAGACAAGGTAAATATTGGTGGCCAGAACCAATAGGCAAATTGTAGAAGGTGGTAGTAATTTGTGACAATTAGTATAGTAGCTTACCGATATATCTGTAAAGGCCAAGGTATTTGTGATGGTGTGGGCAATGAGGATGTTGGACTCAAAAGCATAGCACTGTAGATATTAGAGGCTACCACAAGTATACACAGGAGTATGGGTCCTATGATGGCTCCTTCTAGTCCAAGGTAATAAGCTCCACCAGCTACTGCAAGGCCTGTCAGGTATGGATGTCCTCCTCTGCAATCACAACATACTTATTTACAACTGTACAGAACTACATCTTAACTAGAAGCACTAATGCTCTTCTACAACATTTGAAGATGGGATCTACACTACAGCACTGGTTACTTGTACATATTTCATTGGTGGCAGGGCTGAACTAGCAGACTTAATCTTTGATAACTAATATTTAGTTTGGTAGCCCAGCTTCATATTGCTTTAAAATATCTATCCCATGATTTCAGAGTTGTTACTTTTCCTGAATTAGTTGAATTCATGTCATTTTTTTTGTGTGTGTCAGAAGCGACTTGAGAAACTGTAAATAGCTTCTGGTGTGAGAGAATTGTCTGTCTGCAAGGACGTTGCCCAGGGGATGTGTGGATGTGTTGATGTTTCACCATCCTTATGGGAGGCTTCTCCCATGTCCCCACATGGGGAGCTGGAGCTGACAGAGGGAGCTCATCTGCACTCTCCCTGGATTTGAACCTACGACCTGTCGGTCTTCAGTCCTGTCGGCACAAGGGTTTAACCGACTGTGCCACGGGGGCTTCTTTGTCACTTGGTGAGTTGTGTCTTTAAATCACATGCAAGGTAATTTCTGAGAACAATTTTAACCATTTCCTATCCTCTGAACTTGCAAACACTTTCCAGTTAGTCTACTATAGGATTTCTCCCAATATCTTTAGAACTTTGTTCAGAAATACTTACCCAGATATATCAGAATAGATTGCTGTGTCTACAAAATACGTTGGCAACAGATGGCAAACCAAGAGTAGGACGGCTTTATATCCCTCTCCTTGAACAAGCCAAAGGTCTAGAACTGCAGGTATCGCTGCCCAATATGTCCCCAGAAATGGAACAACTCCAAGTAGTGCAGCTAGTGCTAAAGGTAGACAAAATCTAGAGTTAGAAGTCAGAATTCAACCATCAACGTATTTCACTAGAAATAGATTTTTGTAAAAAAATTGCAACTCTTCATAGCACAATTGGGTTTAAATGCATGAGATTATTTAGATAAATTATAATAGTTCAAATTATAATAATTATGATTATAAAAGTCAATAATTGCACCATTAGGTCAACAACATAGAAACAATCCAGATGACGTAGCAGATGTTTGTATAATAGCAAATTACTAATTGAATTCCTCATTTGGGATTAGCATGTCTTCTTTACCATTATGACTGTACCCCTGTCCACCATAGCAATATCATTACCAAATTCACAAATGAGACAACCATGGTGAGGCTTATCTCTGAAGGGGATGAATCTGCCTATCGGGATGAGGTGGATCGGCTGCTCTCATAGTACAGGGACAATAATGGTAGGTTACATACCTGTGACCATCTTTCTTTGAGTGGTGCTCTGTGAATACACACATGCGGAGTGTCTGCGCCTGCGCGGGCACCAACAGAAACTTCTCCAGTTTAAACTTTTCAAGTTTTGGCGGTAACCCTGCCTAGTCCCTGGCAGGGTATAACAGCAAGGCAGCGAGAAAGACGTAGGTTTGTTAGAGGGGAAGCTGGGCGGGTTTGTGTGAATTCACAGAGCACCACTCGAAGAAAGATGGTCACAGGTATGTAACCTACCATTTTTCTTCGTGGTCTCTGTGAATGCACACATGTGGAGAATAGCAAGCTGAGGTCCCGGAGGCGGGAAGAACAAACCGACCCCTTTATGAAGGACCGAAAATTTTTATTGAAGTATCAAAAACAGTAGCACATGAAAAAAGGACCGACATCCATAACACAGGAGTGCATGACCCTTCTTGGCCAGAAAGGCCGTTAACACAGTATAAAAACACTCATTCACAGACATAATGGTTGCATGAGAATGAAACGTTACAGTTAACTTACAGTCACGAGGCCGCAGAGAGCCTCAAGAGCAGCAACAATCCAGAGCAAAAACTGCGAAAACATTGAGTATGCATAATGAACACAAGGGGACACCATCCTGGTGTCAGAACCGCATGTTTTTCCCCTGCCATCATATAAATCAAGGAATGAAACAATAAAGCATGTAAAGCATAACACTAAAAACAGCACATAAGAACCGAAAACAGTTACAACATTGTTGTAGGCATTTGGACACCGACATCGGTACCGAGGTGCTTGGTATCGAGGTTAGGGAGGGCAAGAAGTTAAGATTGCCCTACTGAAGGCCATATCAGACCTACACCTAGTGTCCAGTCTGTAATGCGAAACAAAGGTCAAAGGGTTGTTGTAGGTTTTTCCAGGCTATATGGCCATGTTCTGGAGGCAGTTTTTCTCCTGACGTTTTGCCTGCATCTATGGCAAGCATCCTCAGAGGTAGTGAGGTCTGTTGGAAGTAGGAAAATGGGTTTATATATCCGTGGAATGACCAGGGTGAGATAAAGGGGCTAGGTGTGAATGTTTCAGCTGATCACCTTTATTAGCATTCAATGGCTTGGTAGTGTCTGGGGGGAATCTTTTGTTGAGAGTGATTTTATGTGCCTGTTTGTTTCCCCTCTGTTGTTTTGCTGTTGTAATTTTTGGCTTTTTTAATACTGGTAGCCAGATTTTGTTCATTTTCATGGTTTCTTCCTTTCTGTTGAAATTGTCCACATGCTTGTGGATTTCAATAGCTTATCTGTGTAGTCTGACATGGTGGTTGTGAAAGTAGTCCAGCACTTCTGTGTTCTCAAATAATATGCTGTGTCCAGGTTGGTTCATCAGGTGCTCTGCTATGGCTGATTTCTCTGGTTGGAGTAGTTTGCAGTGCCTTTCATGTTCCTTGATGCGTGTCTGGGCGCTGCGTTTGGTGGTCCCTATGTAGACTTGTCCACAGCTGCATGGTACACGGTAGACTCCCTCTTGTCCTTTGCTGAACGTAGCATATGTTGGATTTTCTTGGTGGGTCTGCAAGTGGTCAAAGGCTTCGCCCAAATGGCCGCCTTGCATATCGAGTCCAAGGGAATCCCCTTTAAGAAGGCGGTCAAAGTGGCCATTGCCCTGGTCGCTCTGAATCCTTCGGGACTGAGAAACCCTGTCCCTGTAAAACAACAAGGCCCTCTGCACGTCGAGGAGGTGCAGTCTTTTCTGTCGGAGTGGAGGGAGACTGAAAAAAGGAAGGTAGAACAATGTCCTCATTAACATGGAAGGGGGAAACAATCTTTGGTAAAAAAAGAAATGTCCATGCAGAGAACCGCCCTGTCTGCATGGAAAAGCAAATATGGTTCATTGACCCTCTGTCAGCTCCTGCCAGGTCTTAGAACAAAACCACGCTCACAAGTGCAATTTCTTGAACACGGTTTAATTCAGTCTATACAGGATACTTAGAAAGAGAGATCTGAGGGTTTCCCGCAAATGCCAGCACTACATCCCCTTTGGTTCCTCCCCCCTTCTTCCCCCCTTATCACAAGTTGTGGCTACATTCCATTCCCACATCAACAAAGCATTCTCTTCTGCCAGATGGCTCCTATCAACCCATAATTCACACCGATGTCAGGAGGGAGTCTTCGAGGCAAGGAGGAGGCTCTGGCTGTGTTTTCTTAACTCGAAGGCCACATCCTGACACCCTCAACGCCGCCAACTCAGACGGCCTGCGGGCAGAAGTGATCGTCACTAGAAACACCACTTTCCAGGAGAGTAGGCGAAGATTGACAGTTGCTAAGGGCTCGAACGGCAGTAATACCAGCCTGGAGAGCACAAGATCGAGGTTCCAGCCAGGAGTCGGAGGTTCCGATTGCACTGCGCAGGCGCAGGAAAATACCACATGTATGATTCACAGGGACCACGACAGGGAATGATGTGTTGTTTTATGGTGTGAATGGGGGAAAGCCTTTAATTTTGTTGTGCATTAGCACAATCTATATAAATAAAAATGTAATGTTTGTTTATGGAATTAACGTAACTCAAAAACCACTGAACGAACTGACAAGAAATTTGGAAACTACACTCCTAACAGACTATGACTATCACTAACAGTTTATGACTATCCTAACAGTTTATAACTATCACTCAGAGGAAGAGTGTTAAACATCCCAAAAAAGCTAAATGACGATACAGCGGAGGCTCGAAAACAGTAGCTCCCAGCATCCCCTAGACAAATGCACTGCTTCCAAGCTGCAAGCTTGCTTCTCCTTGGATTTCTTTGAAAGCATTCCTATTCATACATATTTCCTATTTCCTATTCCTGGACTGCAACTCCCACCCATCCCTCAGATAGATAAGATATATAGATGAGATAGAGATAGATTGTAGGTAGATAAATTAGGAGGACTGCTGGGAGTTACAGTCCAAGAATAGGTAGAGAAGGAAGAAAGGAGAGAAAGAGAAAGGGAGGGGAAGAAAGGAAAGAGGTAGAGAAGAAAGGAAGGAAGAAGGGAAAAAGGGAAGGAAGGAAAGAAGGAAGGAAAGAGGGAAGGAAGGTTGGCCACAGCAACGTGTTGCAGGTACAGCTAGTGAGAAATAAAGCTATTCTATTCTATTAGAATTCAGTAGATTTTACCCAATGCAGCCCAAGAGCGGGAACATTTGTACATGAAGAATTACCATTCCTTTTTCTTAAGACTCATGGGTACCTTGTCTTCTGAAAGCAAAGAGTTTTAGAAAGTCCTAAGATGTAGGTGGGATGCTGCACTAGAATGGAATAAATCCGGTGTCAATGTCCCCATACAAGTTCAGGCAATCACATTGATTGAATTATGTGCCTTTCTACTGTCACCAATTTATTTATTTATTTACTTCATTTATATACCGCTTTTCTCAGCCCTCAGGTGACTCAAAGCTGTTAACAACAGCAAAATTCAATGCAAAAACATCACAAAACGAATATGGGATAGTTAAAAACAGTAGCATCATCAACGATTAAACATCAATATAACAATCATTAGTGTCTCATCAGTAAAATCAGAATCCAATCTCATCATCCATTATTCCGTATTCCTATATTCAATTACACTGCTTAATCGAATGCTTGTTCGAACAGCCAGCTCTTCACTTTCCTCCGAAACGCCAACAGGGAGGAGGCCGATCTGATATCCGTAGGAAGGGCGTTCCACAGCCAAGGGGCCACCACTGAGAAGGCCCTGTCTCTCGTCCCCGCCAGGCGCGCCTGTGATGCAGGCGGGACCGAGAGCAGGGCCTCCCCAGATTATCTTAGTGTCCTAGTTGGTTCATAGGAGGAGATGCGTTTGGAGAGGTAAGTAGGGCCAGAACCGTTTAGGGCTTTATAGGCTAACGCCAGCACTTTGAATTGTGCCCGGTAGCAAACTGGCAGCCAGTGGAGCTGGCGCAACAGAGGAGTTGTATGCTCCATGAGTGCCGCTCCTGTTAGCAACCTGGCTGCCAAATGCTGGACCATTTGAAGCTTCCGAGCAGTCTTCAAAGGCAACCCCACGTAGAGAGCATTGCAGTAGTCTATACGGGATGTAACCAGAGCGTGGACTACCATGGCCAAGTCACACTTCCCAAGGTATGGGCGCAGCTGGCGCACAAGTTTTAACTGTGCGAATGCTCCCCTGGTCACCGCTGAAACCTGAGGTTCCAGGCTCAGCGATGAATCCAAGATCACACTCAAGCTGCGAACCTGCGTCTTCAGGGGGAGTGTAACCCCATCCAACACAGGCTGTAACCCTATGCCCTGTTCGGCCTTGCGACTTACCAGTTTGTTCAATTTGTTCGCCCTCATCCAGACCATTACAGCGGCCAAGCATCGGTTCAGCCTCTTTAGTAGCAGGTGGAAAGGAGTGACAGAGTTGGACATCATCTGCGTACAGATGACATCGTACCCCGAAACTCCGGATGATCTCCCCCAGCGGCTTCATGTAGATGTTAAACAACATGGGAGACAATATTGAACCCTGTGGAACCCCACAAGACAATGGTTGTGGGGTTCCTAGAGGGTCGATCTCACTTTCTGAGATCGACCCTCTAGGAAGGACTGGAGCCACTGCAGAACAGTACCCCCAAGGCCCATTCCAGCGAGGCGTCCCACAAGGATACTGTGGTCGACGGTATTGAAGGCCGCTGAGAGGTCCAGCAGAACCAACAGGGACACACTCCCCCTGTCTAGCTCCCGGCATAGATCATCCACTAAGGCGACCAAGACTGTTTCAGTTCCATGTCCCGGCCTAAAGTCAGACTGTGCTGAATCCAGATAATCAGTGTCTTCCAAGAATACCTGGAGTTGTGAAGCCACCACACTTTGTCCAAAAAGGGGAAATTGGAAACTGGCCGATAGTTGTCGAATTGAGTGGGGTTCAGTGATGGTTTTTTCAATCTAAGTCAACTGACTAAGATCTTGATTAACTTGTCCCACTAATTTCTAAAGAACCTACATGGACCTAATTTACTAAAAGATATATCCAGCCCAGTATAATTCAGTATCCATTATACAGAAGACAATTAAAATGTCATTTAGGCAACAAAATTATTGCTACAGTGGCCAGAAATATGGGAAAAATGAAGGATGGACTAAGAGTTACCAGGATTTTACAGGACGGGTAATTTGAGGAAAATACAGAATTTTTTTTTTGCTCCAGCACAAATATAAAATCTTGCCATAAACAGCAAGTGAAATCCTGAGTCACCTTCCAGAATCAAGTATCATTGTTTTTACTTCTCACCTGAGGGTATGAAGACAATGTTTATGCCAAAAACAGTATGGGTTAGCCAGGTGTACAGCCCATAGAATCCAGCCATTTTGAGGGATGCATCAAATACACCTCTAGAAAAAACAAAGAAAGCCACGTAAAATCTACTAATTGACCTGCATGAAAATCCTGTCTTTAAAAACAAATGTATCAGTTCCCTTAATATCAAAGCTGTTTACTAAATATTCTACTAGTGATGAAGATAATTCTACTTGCTCTTTGGTTCATTGACTTGAAGCAAGGGACAAACTATTTTGATTTAATTTCTGTATCCCAAATTTCAATGTGGGCCACACACATCTGGCAGTGCAGCAATCTGAAATGGAAGAAACTATCAACTTTATAGTATCTCCAAACTGTTATTTTCTCATCTGAATAAGACACGTGAGGAATGCGCACAGTGTTTTAGAGTAGATTGTTGCTTCATGCATGCAGGGATATGATTTAACCACAAGGTAAGATTGATCTTTGCCACATGTCTTGTTTTACCAAAGAAATGACGTGGGAGTGAATGCATTATTGCAGCAGCATTGACTTTGGTTGAGATTGCAGCTCCAGACTCAAACAATTGTTTCTTGGCCCTATAATGACCCACCTCTAAATGAGGTATTACCTGACTGGTAGTATTAATGATACCGTTACTCAAATGAATGAAAACTGATAGATTGTTACATAAACACAAAATGTTTTATAAAACCCATAAATCACACAAAAAGTCAATGCTATCACTTGAAAGCCTTTACTGATAGTTATCGTCTGATATTTTTATTTGCTGCTTTTATTATTTTATAATTATTCCACTTTTAATTATAATTTCAAAAACAGTTAGCTTTGAAATAACAAAGCAATAAAATTTCAAATAAAAGCAAACCCAGAAAGATCCCAGTGCTAAGGCCTTCCTCTCTGATCTTTTCTGTACATATTCCTGACATGTAGCAGCAACTATAAATGTGAGCACTTCACAAATCTTTACAGGCTTCTACCATTGATATATTGCCATATTATAAGAGACCTTTGCAGTATAGCTAGCAATAGGAAATTGAATATTGCACAATAGTGATAGAACTAATCTAGTTTGCACAGCTGTACGGATTACAAGCTAATTTTTGAGAAACACTTCGTATGTTATACAATCATTATTATCCAGTATTATCAGTAGTACAATAACAGTAATTATTAAAGTTATTACCAGAAAATGCATATATATGGTTATGGGAAAATAAATCTAGGTTTCCTAGTTTGCAGTTTTGATGGCAGAAAGTGAAATTGAGCCAAATAATGGAGAGAACATCTGTGACTGAACAATGAGATAGTCAGCTTTGCTGCTCCTTTCAAGATGCAATCCTTTCTCTACTTAGCAAACTTAATGGTTTTATCACTCAAAGAGGTGAGAGGTAGCTCTAAGGTCACCAATAAATTGGAAACAAGTTGACGGCACAACAATAAAAATGTACCTAAGTAATTTATTTATTATTTATTTCAAGCATTTATACCTTGTCCTTCTCACCTCCCCCCAGGGGAGGGGGGACAGGACTCAGGGTGGCTTACAGAAGGCAACCGTTAGATGCCAGACATTGTAAGGATTGACACTAAACAGCAGTTAAACACTTAAAACAGTCATAAATACACCAAAATTATTTTTTAAATGCCAGTTTGCTGGTTGCATAGGTCAGTCACATTCAATTGCTGTATTTATTGCTTGAAGGCTTGACCCCAGAGCCAGGTCTTAAGTTTTTTCGGAATACCAGGAGGGAGGGGACAGATCTGATGTCATTTGAGAGGGAGTTCTACAGCCAAGGAGCTACCACTGAGAAGGCCCTGTCTCTCCTCCCCACCAGTCATGCTTGCAAGGGTGGTGGGATCGAGAGCTGGGTCTTCTCTGATGATCTTAAGATCCTAGATGGTTCGTAGAGGGAGATATGTTCAGATAGGTAAACTGGGCTTTATAGACTAAAGCCAGCACTTTGAATTGTGCTCGGAAGCAGTAAATAGATATATACAGTCAAGAAAGTTGAATTAGATGAATTTTAGGACTTTGGTAAACAAAATTCTCCTTCTTAAGTACAGGTAGTCCTTGAGTTAAAAACATATGAAGTACAAATGACTCATAGTTAAGAACGGGGGTGATATATCAGGAAGTGAGAGAATTCTACACTGAAGAAGGGAAATTCACCCCTGGAAGAGTTATCATAGGAAAAAGGTTTCCTCACTGAAGCTTTAGCACCAACCCTTGTTTCCACAAGCCAAAATGATCAAAATCCAATTATCATAGGGACAGAAAGTGAGGTGAAATTCTTTGAACAGGGGCACAGACAGCAAAACAAACACCATGGGGATGTTAATCCTTCCCTATGCTATCTAAAGCTGAGAGAGAGAGAGAGAGAGAGAGAGCATGTTACACTTAAAATGTACCTGTTCTGATTTACATACAAATTCAGCTTAAGAACAAACTTCCAGAACCTATCTTATTTTTGGGGACTGCTTGTACTGCTTTTTCAAAAGCAAAAATAGGTAAAACAAATTATCTAAAGCCTCCCAGGCCTTTATTTTAATGGACAGAGTTCTCTCTTTTTTCAGATTTAAAACATGTTCTGGTCAATAAAGTAGACATAACTTCCTGCAATATTTTGTTTGGTAGATAGGTCTTTGTAAGTGACCTCTCCTTTAAAAATGCCAGGCTCCTTGTAAAATAGAAGAATTTTTCTTTTACAAGGAACTGTTCCTACGGAATTTAATTTTAATAACAAGGCTAAAAGCCATTGCTCCACAGATTTTTCTCTTGAATGATTAAGTAACTACTATCCAATAACTGCAAATGTAGTGATCAGTTAAACCTGGAAAATAGAGGGGAAGTATTTAGACAAAGTGGATCAAGCTACTGTTACCCCATCTCTAATGGAAAGATGAGTAAAAATTAGTTTATATTACGGAGAATAATGACTTGGACAATGTAAAGGAATCCAAGTAAAATGTCTGATGGTATGAAAGGTTAAATATTAAAACTGGATGGCTTTTAAGAAAGGAATAAAGATAAATGTAGATTTTTCTTCTTTTGCAAACTCTTTCTCTTAGCTAATCATAGAGATCAAATTAAAGATAATAATTTAAAAAAGGAGCTGGAAGACATACAGAAAATTCTGTATGGGTTTCTGGCTTTATAAATATCAAGATCAGTTTGCAGGAGAAATGCAGAGATGGAAATTATAGTCAGATCTTATGGAACGATAAGGACAGTAGATATGATTGACTAGTGTTCATCTTGTACGCTATTTTAGGTTGTCTTTTTGTTAATCTTCAGCAGTGAAAAAACTGTAAATTTGAAAAAAAGAATAGTTTTGGGCCTGAACCACACAAAACATATGGCAAGGATGACAGTAAATCAAAAGATATATCCACTGCAGTAGCTCTTTGGAAATTTCAGTGTATTTATAGTTCAAGTACTAGGTGACTGGCTCACATTTTCACGCTTACACAGTGGCACAATGTTGGGTCCCGATGTCCCTTACCTACTGACCTTTCAACACCCAGATGTTAAAGCAACAGTATTGACTATAGCCCTTCCCCACCATACACTGCTGGAAACTAGAATTATCAAATTCTGAGGTTTCTGAGATGCTTATTTGGTTGTTGAAAGACACATGGTTTCTAAATAGTAAATGCTATCCTTCAAAATTTAAATCATTTTAATCTTAAATTCTTCAGATAAATACAAGCAGTAGCCTTCTTGGTCCACATTCACACTTAAAGATTTGCACTCATACCTGAGTTGAGTGAAAGGCTGTTAAAGAAGAAATTAGTTCAAATCAGCCTTTTGCTCTGTGAAGGAGTTTAAAGCATGCACACAGCTGGATGAGGTGATAATTTTATAAGAATGGCTAGGGAAATGCAAGGTTTTGTTAAGGGTTAGTTTTAGAATTAAACTTTAAACAATTATATTAATTGTTATTTTAATCTACCAATTCTCTTTTATTTGAATATTTTAGACAGTTCACAAGGTGAGAAAAGAAATTGGCATTCTTGCATTCTGTTTTGTGGCATTTTGCTGAATTCCACCCCACCCCCTGTAATTATTTTCTTAGGTTAAGATGTACTTAATGGTGTACTTGTTCTGGACTGCGCCATTTGTGCCAGAATAAGTGATCTGCATCTTCCTTTCTGTAATTCCCTGTCCATCAAATTCCTGCTCTGTAGTACTTGGAAAACACCTAGAAAAGCTTTCTAGAATCACAAATCACAACAGGAGAGGAAGAATATCTTGATTCCACTGGGATAAAAAGTACTCCCATTGATCTTACACTTTAAAGAAACATCACATAGTGATAATATGATTTTAGTGTGTAGTTTAGTGGGAAACAGGGACATTGTTTTATTATCAGAATTACTATGGTTCCTGTTAGATGAGGATCATTTAAATTACACATTTGACAGCTCTGGTTTTCAGTTATTGAGATCTGAACTGCTAAATGAACAGCTGAATATTTTGATAACTGTGCTCCAAATTTGTAAAAAAGTTCCTCAAACCGTGATTTATTCTGCATAGTAATAAAACCTGTGGTACCTTTGTGGTGGTGAGGAATGGTTGGTTTGATCTGGAGTGCAAACCTACAAAGAAAACAAGGTTAGGATGTACTAAACTGACTATATTTTTAATAGTTTAAGACAAAATACGATGTAAAAAAATAAAACAAAACAAAAGTCCATACACTATTCAGAGATGGAAATAATTGGTTTAATGTGTCATTTTTGGGGAGAAATGGCAGACACCATAAGTGGATCTTGCAGATTAGCATTCAATATGCTTATTTCACTTGAGCATGAAAATTTTCAAATGGAGAGTGGTTTATTAGATGTAGACATCCAGTTTTGGAATCTGAAGTGAGGCATCTAAGAGGTAATCTTAAATTAGGTAAAACTAATTGGTTAATTCTTAATTAAATCTGCTAATATGTTAATCCCTAGCTGATTAAATTAAAGATAAATTGGGGAATCCAATTTATGCTAAACTCTCTTTAAAGAAAAGGGACAGGACAATAATTGTCTTTCAGGTACTGTTTCTGTTTTGTAATGTAGAAAG